TTCAGGAGATTTTTTTTTTTTTTTTACGTTATAAGTGAAAATTAAATCGAACTGTTTTGCTCAACCCTTCCGCTCCGAAAAGCGTATATATAGGGTGTTCGGGCGTGGATTCTAGAAGCTGATACAAGACGAAAATCAGAAACAAAAAAATTACATTTGAGGCTTCATTTTTTAGTTATTAACATTTAAACATATCCCTGTAATCGAGCCAACCTCCCTACACCAACGAATATGGGACACGTCAAGTCACGGGGGTACAGTGATCCTCAAACCAGGGCTACTCAGGCAGCCGTTTCGAGAATAAAAGCGTTCGTCGTTGCTCCGAGCAGAGCCCTGAACAGCGGCTGGAGCAAGTGACGTCAACAGTCATTAAAGGAAGCGGGGAACAACGGTACCAGTGGGAATGTCGGCTAGTAGTTAGGCGTGTGTTGGATGTTCGTGAGTTACATACTTTTTTCAGCACATACGATCCCTACTGCTTTTTCAGGCCGAGCGATCACTGCTACATTCATACAATGCCCCTCCACAGGATCGTTGCTCAAGTAGGCGTGGCCTACTATTCGAATATCGCTCCGTACTCGAGTTTGTCTGACTACTTCATATAGAGCAACTTCGAGATCGGATCTACTCAAAACCAACACCACAGGGACATTGAAGGCATCTTGTTTCATGCAAGTCGTAAAGAAAGAAGTAGTGATATTCGGCGCCGTAAACAACATTACCGCCTTCTATGGTACTATCGTTTGCTTCACCACGACACAGGAATAGAAAGTTGTTCAAATGTGTATTCCATTGTATGCTGCAAACACAACATATACTATGCACACAACAAACACAATACACGCAAAACACTGAAAAACCTTTCTCGTTATAACCGTTATCACATCATTTCGGTTCTTTATAATTGTTTTAGAAAGAATATTTGTATAACAGTTATTAACAGTTATTTCTAGAATTGTTTTAATGCTTGGTTATAAGTTTTAAATTGTTCCTTTTACCCTGTTGGTAGTAAGCGATCCTCAGCTTTACTACAAGTACAGGCTGACCAAGAAAACCTGAAGGTTCTACCGCGCATGCCTGTGCAAATAAGCGGAAAATAGGCGGACACATCATCCCCACTACTCTGCGGTCATAGACTGCCTCAGCTTGAAAGAATGTTTAGTGTAGATAGATAAGTGGCTTTTGACCAACCGTCGGTAATGTCGCGTACTGATAAAAGAATAAGGAAAGTGAAAAGGTTATCTGCCCGCCTTGTGTTCTACCTAAGTCGGTGCACAAAAATTGCTTATAAAGTCCAAAAATTTTTAACAGCAATGAAAAATAACATGCCACTATAGATCAACAACCACTGCTCACGCGAGGCTCGATCATCGCTTATTATTCATGTAAGAATAACCTTATTCTATCGCTATTGGCTGATTAACAGCAAGACGTCAGAATTTCTCCTACATTTCCCACTTCTAGGCCCTAAGATTCGAGGCCCTGAAGCCCCAAGTTTTCGTTGTCAGACAATAAGTATATACAGTAGTGTCCGAATATATGGCCACAATTTTCGAGAAATGGCCAACATTATGTGACTTCGGCTCACTCTGCTATGCATGCATTAAGGGTAAGAGTGAGAAATAGGCAGTGCGACTGAGACAGAATAGGTAGAGTGAGAAGTAGGCAGTGCGACTGAAACAGAATAGGTAGAGTGTAACAATACTGTTGAGTCAGGTCATTTCTTACTCCTAATAATTATTTCTTTAGTTTAAGTTTCTATTAAAATATTGTTAGTAGAACGCAATTATAAGAAAATTCAATCAAATAGTGACCAAGCTTGGGCATTACTGAAATAAAATATTTAAAAAATTATTATTTAAACTTAACACAAAATACAGTTGTGTACTTATTCTCACTTTGTATTCCTAATATTATTTTGTTTATTTTATTGCTATTCTTCTTATTTTTATTGTTATTATTGTTAAACTTTTCACTTCTTCGATTAATTTTTCGCCATATACATATTCGGACACTACTGTTCTACTCGTTTAGCTTAAAATTAATACAAAAGTTAATACAAATATAGTCATGTTTGGTATTATTTTGATCGTACGAATCTCAATAATCCGACTAAGGCCATCTCGTAACGATATAATAAAAAATATAAAAAAATTATATTTCTCTTATTCCGGTAATTCAATATCAGTTGAGACAACACCGAGATCTGTCTGGAGCCTGCAGTTCTAGGAACTGATGAGGATGACTTTGCGATCATATAAGCAGAAAAATTCGTGGCCATATATCCGGATACTACTGTATCACCGTATGGTACTTTGTGTTTTATGAGCTGCAATATCGATCGTGCAAGAATTGAGAGGTTTTGTTATGTTCTCT